TCAATCTCTTATCAAAGGCAACATTACTAGTTATTACCATACCTTCTTCACTACACATTCCACCCTTTCCTACAGACACCATCCAATTCAACCGTATAATCTCGTCACTGAGGTAGAAAGACAACAATTGGCTCTACCCCTTCAGGACCATAAAATTATTAGTGCTATCAACTCTTTCAAGCCTCTTAAAGCACCAGGCCCCGATGGCCTACATCCCTATTTCTATTAAAAATATTGGAATATGGTTGGAAGCTCTGTTAAATCCTTTTGCCATATAACTTTTAATAATCATACAATAGATCCCTCCATCAACAAAACCCTAATTTGCTTAATTCCAAAAAATAAAACAACGTCTGTAATTTCTCAATTTAGACCTATAAGCCTTTGTAACACAATTTACAAAGTTATTACTAAAATTATCTCTAACAGGCTAAAACCAATTCTCCAGCACATTGTTCATCCCACTCAATCTAGCTTTCAAAAAAATCGTCGTGCTGCAGACAATGCCATCATTGTCCAGGAATTAATATCTCCTTTCCAAAAAATGAAAGGAAAAACCTCTCACATGCTTCTCAAACTTGATCTTGAGAAAGCCTTTGACCAACTAGAATGGTCATTTATTCACTATACACTAGTTACCCTTAACTTCCCACCAAACTTCATTAAACTCATCATGTCTTGTGTTACAACCACTTCGACATCAATCCTAATTAATGGCAATCCAACGGATTATTTTAATCCAACAAGGGGCATTCGTCAAAAAGATCCTCTATCGCCATATCTCTTCATACTATGCCTTGAAATGCTATCTCGCCAAATAAATACGGTAGTAGATCATCGTGCTTGGCAACCAATTACTATATCTCCAAAAGGACCTTCACTATCACACCTATTTTTTGCGGATGATATTATCTTAGCGGCCAAAATAAGTCCATCTACTTGTGACTCCATCATCAATACTATACAGCAATTCACAACCTACTTGGGCCAAACACTAAACTTTCAAAAATCAAAAATATTTTTCTCAAAATCATGCCCTTTAAATGTAAGAGCTTCTGTTTTAGAGCTATTCCATATGAAAGAGGGAAAACAATTTGGTAGATACTTGGGCTTTCCCATCTTCATTAAAAACCCCACAAAAAATAATTTTCAATTTCTACTGGATAATTTCAAAAATAAATTAGCTGGGTGGAAAACAAAATTCTTAACAAGGGCTGGTCCCACTACTCTTATTCGCTCAACCCTCAACCAACTACCCAACCACATCATGCAGTATATCACAATCCCTAACAATATCCTATCTCTGTTAAATAGATACCAAAGAAATTTTCTTTGGGGTACAACTCCGCCAAAAGAAAAAACTTTACCTCCTTAAGTGGGACAGTGTTGCTCGACCAAGGTGGCTTGGGCATACAAAAACTTCCCACGAAGAATAAAGCGTTACATGCAAGTCTTGCATGGCGACTATTCCAACAACCACAACAACTTTGGTCACAAGTTCTAATAAATACTTACATCCGCCCTAATAAGACGCCCAAACGTTTCCCTACTTTCACGTGGAAAAACATCATAAGTGACTGGTCTTACTGCCGTTTGGGCTATAAATGAAATCTCACAAACGGCAAACATGTAAAATTTTAGACTGACCCATGGATCACACCTAATTTCATACTAAGTTCCTACCTATATGGTCCTTTCCAACCCAACGAACAACACAAGAGGGTATCTGACTACTACTATAACAATAAATGGCATTTTGACACACTTCCAGTTGATCTCCCCACTGAGTTAAAAAATAACATTCACAATGTTTATATGCCACTTCACCACCTCAATTACGATCAGATCTACTGGGATCTGACAAAAGATGGTCTCTTCTCTGTTAAATCCAGCTACAAATCACTCGCTACAACTGAAAGTACTCAATACCTCTAGAAATGGATTTGGAAGCTAAAAGTTCCATCTAAAATATCTTTTTTTCTATGGCTTCTTTCACATAACCGACTACCTACTGCTACATACCTATTCCAATTAGGTATCATCACTTCTAATATTTGTAAGCAATGCCAAATGGATCCAGAAATAATTGTACATATCTTTCTCGAATGTCCAAAAGTAACCCAGCTATGGGCACAATTAAACATAACCCCTTCAACTCCTTCCAATTCGCCTCCTATAGGAACATCATCATACTCTATCCCAAATCTTTTACATAATTCCCAATGGTTATATAACCTCATACATATGCCTTTACATTCAACTCCATATAGCATCCTAAATACCGTCTTCATCTCTTTTGCACTATGGCATATATGGAATGTTCGTAATAAAAACACACTGGATAATCAAAAGATGAACATTAATATTCATTTGATTCAAACTACGGCTGCTGAATATTTTTTCCTAACCCCACATCACAGCTTAAAAAAACATACCATACCTCTAAATATCAAATGGCATCCCCCATCATCACCTTACTATAAACTAAACATCGATGGTGTATCTTCCCCTGCTCACAACAGCTATGGAATAGGAGGTGTTTTTCGCAACACACAGGGACACTGGGTAATGGGCTTCGCATGAGGATCACTTCCAGCAACTGCCATCCAAACAGAACTACTAGCATTACTTATGGGGTTGCAGCTTGCTGTGCGTCACCAATACACACCACTTATCATCGAAACAGATGCACACGACATCCTGGGTATGTTAAATACGTCTAGCATGCATCACATTAACATTTTAAATGACTGCAGGTTATTGCTTCAACAGCTGGGTAGGCCTTCTCTACAACATATCTACAGGGAGCAAAATAGTGTTGCTGATAGTCTAGCTCAATATGGGGCCAAGCAAGCAGTTACCAATAGTTGCATCTCTTTTGTCACACCACCACCTTTTGTCGCAACTTTCTACCAACAAGACCTAGATGGAACAATGCACTGGAGGCTTGTTAACAAGAACAACCAACTTAACCCTACTTTGTCTCCCGTTTGTAATACTAATATTTTGTGTAGTAATGCACCCAATGTAGGGGCACTTGTAGTAGCTTATCATAGTACTAGTTCTAGTTTACAAACTAACATGCCTGTAAGGCATCCAGTTCCCTGTACTAATGTAAGGTTTTAACCTTTCAGTATAAGTTTTTTTTTCCGACCAAAAAAAAAAAAA